AACCACCCCAACCCCAACCCCAACCCCAACCCCAACCCCAACCCCAACCCCAAACCCAACCCTAACCCCAACCCCAAACCCTCATAAATATCAACTTGTCCCATTTCTAATTGTAATATCTTAAAAAAAATCCAAAAAAATAGGTGTTCCAAATAAAGAATAGTTCTCTTAATTTTTTCATACTTTAATAAAAACAATTCTTCTTGATAGAAATTAGATCTGATAATAAAATGGAAGATTAAATTTTGTCATCTTGAATACTGTATAAAATATTCATAGATCAAACCTTTAGTTTTAAATAATCATTGCATATTTCTCTAATCATGAAAAAATCACAGTTTTTCCTTTGAAGATCAAAGCTCATTTTGCAACTGATGATCTCAATACACAAAGCATTAAACTTTGAATCTAAAATATAATATGAATAGTTAAACACTAATTCTAAAATTTGATTTTGTTAAAGTCGAGTTGTAAATGAAAAAGCAGATAGTTATAAATACTCTCTTTAAGTAAGATTTTACTATGTGAGAAAATTTGTTATTAGCTGTGGTATAAATTGATTTTCTACTCATAATAAGAGAGTATGATAATGACAAATGTTTAACTTGAATTTCGGCAATTAACAACAAATTAATAAAAATTGAATTGATATTGGATTGCATCCTTTAATGGTTTTTAAATAATTATAAATTTTGTTTCTATTGTAGTACATTCTCTAAAATTAAACTACCTTTATATCTACAATAATAATCGTAAATCATATCCTTTATAATCAACGAATTCTCCTTTGAAGATTAAAGCTCCTTAAGATTTTAAAATGGGATTTTAAGAAACTCTTTAAATTGTAACATAAGAGCGCATGCCTCAAGAATAGTGAAAAATAAATACCATCTTCTGGAAGAACATTATTTATAATTAGTGAAGGTTAAAATTCAGCTAAAATATCTTTATAACAATTATCTGATGTTAGATTAGAGTAGTCCTGTTTTAACATTTCATAAAAGGATAAAGTATTCGTATTCCGGCCGTAGGGCGTAGGAAACTATCCATATTCCGACCATAATGGCTAGGAAGATTTAGATCCATATCCCATTGTTCAATGAAAATTAGATATGTTTTAGGAGTAGAGATAGAATATTGTAAATTGAAATGAAATAGAATTAAGTCATCGAAACAAATGGTAATATCAATTGCTTTAGTTTATGGAATGTTGACATTATAAGGAACTTGATATTGTCTACAATATATTTTGTGCAGAAAAAATTTATTAATTTGTAAGGGGTATAAATTTGATAATCAATTACTGTCCATATTAAAAATAGTCACGGTCATTGAATTCTCAATTTCAACAGATTTTTTAACTTAAATTTAAGATATGAATCTACAATTTTAGAATGTATTCAAAGAATTTTCTCATATGTTTAAGATCAAATCCTATTAAATGATAAATCTTCATTTAAATCTTTTAGTTATTTTCTTTATGGATTATGTGATTAAAGTCAAAAAAGTGAAAAACACAATTAATTCTTATTTAATCAAAATACAATTTAACATTAATTCTTATTAAATATAATCAACTTGTTTAGATAATAGTCTTTATTTCTTTCAAACAAAGGCTCTCAAGAATTGTATACAATTTTTGCATTTTGAGATTTATTATCAAAATTGTCTTTACATATAAATCAATAGATATTTTAGAGTTTATAAAAATCAAATATAGGATTATTTCAATCAAAGACCTGTATTGAGATTTACTTAAAAATATAAACCATCAAATGTTATTATAGAACAATTTTGCATGCAAGTTTAATTTGGTTCAATAGAAAAAATAGTAAAATTTGAAATGATATTGGAATATATGTAATAAATCATTGTTATTGTAAATATAATGCAATTTAGCGTTCTAAAATGCAGCCTCCTCTCTATTAAAATAATGTTCTTAAGTCTATGCCTGATTGATTAGTAAATTCTCCTTTCAAAATTAGAGCACCTTCTGATTAAAAAATTAGCTATTATGATATTAGAAGAATGGTAACATTAGAATTAACTAAATAATAGTTAAAAATAAATACCACTTTCTGGAAGAACATTATTTTTCAATATTGAAGGTGAAAATTAAGCTAAAATATCTTTATAACGATTATCTGACTATTGGATTTCTTGTCCTGTCTTAACATCCCATAAACGGATAGACTTATCTCCACTACCAGATGCTAATGTAGTACTATCAGGAGAGAAATTGACTGATAGAACTGTTGATGAATGACCATCTAATTTGGTTTTTTATTATACTGTCTTAACATCCCATAAACGGATAGACTTATCATAACTACCAGATGCCAATGTAGTACTATCAGGAGAGAAATTGACTGACATAACATAACTTGAATGACCATCTAATTTGGCTATTTATTATCCTGTCATAACATCCCATAAACGGATAGACTTATCATAACTACCAGATGCTAATGTAGTACCATCAGGAGAGAAATTGACTGTTATAACAAAATTTGAATGACCATCTAATTTGGCTTTTTATTATCCTGTCTTAACATCCCATAAACGGATAGAGTATTCTCCACCAGATGCTAATGTAGTACCATCAGGAGAGAAATTGACTGAATAAAATGTTCCTGAATGACCATCTAATTTGGCTTTTTATTATCCTGTCTTAACATCCCATAAACGGATAG